GGCTAGATATCCACTAGAGCAGTTGTTACAGCTTTAGAGAGACAAGGACAGCTAAAGTAGGTCTAGCTAGGCAATTAGGAGGAGACAATAGTTATTAAAGGCATTAATACTAAAGGGTAGGCTATTATACCCTTTATTATCTTCTAGGGCTATAACTACCTCTTAAACTAGTATAAAGAGGATAATCTACCCTATAATTAGGTTATTAGGGTCTCTACAAATAGCTAGACTACTAACAAACTTAGTCTTAACTAGTTAAAGCACTTTAACGCGCATACAAAGGAGCGTACTGTTAGCAGCTACTATCTACTAGTTATTAATAGTTACAAGAGCTATAACTTACTAGATTTCTAGGAATACTGCAAGGATAACAAGATTATTACTGTTTGTATGCCTCTGCACTTATTGCATCTCCTGCAGCTACTTAATGTAGGCTGTTTTGCCTCTCTAAAGAAGGCGTATAGGCGCTAAGCTAAAGACCTTAACCTGTTTTATCAGTGAGCGCCCCACCTCAGTGAGCGCCCCACGAACACCAGCGAGGCGTACGCGCAGCGACGTAGCTTAGCACCACAACACAAATTTTGTACTCTTGCAACAGTATAGTATTATTTAGAAGCCTTGCTATTATTTATATCCTTAATTTCTACCTTGTAGGTGTGAGAGTTGTGCCTAATCTCACTGCAATAGCCACAGCGTCGCCCTGCGTGCACCCTCTTTGCTAGCTCCTTACCCTCCTCACATCTGCCACCCTCCCTTTTAGTAATTAAGTCTAATACCTTGCTAACTATTAATGTCTCCTCTGCCTGTACGTAGCGTCTCTTGCAACTTTTACACTTTATTACTACTTTAGTAGTAGTATTAAGGCGCACTATCTCTGCGCGTATTAACACTATCTTATAAGCTATCTACTGCGCGCCTTTTGTTAGCTACTGCATCTGCTTATTAAGTAAACTTGCTAGAGACCCTTAATAGATTTTTATCCTATTTTAAACTAGTGTTAATTGCGCCTCTATTTCTTTAGCGTTGTGTGGTGTTTTTACCTCCTAAGTGGCGTTGACTTGCTGTGGTGGAGTTTGCGTACGCAGCTGCACATCTAGCTTTAATAACACAGCCTATAGATTATGTGGAGACAATCTAGCGCCTTAAAACCCTGCGCAAGTATTCTCTCTTATAAACGCCTTCTTAAAAGCTACTTTAAAGGCTAGTAAGAAGGTCTATTTGCTAATATAGTTAATGCAATTGCGTGCTAAGGCTAAGATCTAATCACTATACGCGCGCTTTAATAGCAAGAAACAGGCGACGTTAAGCAGCTGCAGGAGGTGCAACGAGTGTGGAGGCATACAGAGGGTAATAATCTTCTTCTCCTTGCAGCAATCCTAGAAATCTATTAAGCAATAGCTCTTGTAGCTGTTAATAATTAGCAGCCTATACGCTCCTACAGGCCTTGCATGCGTATTAAAGTAATTAAGCTAGGCAAGCGCTAGATTGTTGTTTGTCTAGCCTGTTAGGCTTACTTAAATAACCTAATTGCGTAGGAGGTCCTTAGTAAACTAGTTAGAGATAAGAACCTTGCTAGCAAAGATAAGGAAGGGTAGGATAACACGCCCTGTTGCGCTAACGCCCTGTATTAACATAGTCTACTCACAATTACTAGGCTAAAGCTTCTTCGCTTTCCTAGGTTTCTCTATGCCTATTATAACAAGTTAAAAAGATATCTTGCCTATTAGGAAGCTAGACTTGTTAAAGTTATACATGTTATTGTCTACAATACTGTACTTCGCCTTTATGTTCTAAACTAGCGTAAACTAGGGCTTAATAATCGCTAGGTCTTCGCAGAGAGCTCGCTAGTGATTGTATAGATAAGTCCAGCGCGTGCGCAGCTCAGGTGTACGCTTAATAAACCTGTCAACCCAGCATTTACCAACAGGCTCACCGCCGCAGTCGCGCAGCAGTCTATCAGCCATATCTTGTACGTGTAGCTTTAAGGGTGGTACTCCATATAGTTTCTTGTCAAGTATACGCTGCAGAATTACCTCCTCTTCTAGCTTTGTTAGGTGCTTTAATCTAGGCTTGCAGTCGCGTCTAGAGGGCTTCCTGTCACGTCGTTATTGTATTGTCCTACAAGGAACGCTGTAGACTGCCTTAGCACGTTGCAGGCTTGTAATCTAGTCGCATTTAATGTTAGAGAGGGCAAGCTGCATGTTAGCTTTAGTATAGGGCTTGTGAGGTTGTGGTTGTTAAGACATTACGCGTTGAGTGTCGCGCATGCGCTTTGCTGGTGTTCGTGGGGCGCTCACTGAGGTGGGGCGCTCACTGAGGTGGGGCGCTCACTGATAAAACAGGTTATACATAACTAGATTAACTATATTATAAAGCGTAAGTTCCTACTATACTTTAAAGTAGCCTATAATGCTATATTTACCTTAAGCAATATCTAAGGAGGGTTCTAAGGCACTAGACTAGTCCCCTTTAACCTAGAATAGGTTATAATAGGGCTTAATATAAAGCTGCGCACTCTATTACTACAACTCCCTAATAATAATAAGCCCTAGCAGTTATAAACCCCTAGCAATACCCTAGAACTTTAGTTGTAATTAACTCTAATTTAAGAGAAGTATAAGAAGTAGTAGGGTAGCTTACCTAATTCTATGCTGAGCGCGCTTGAGCACTACGCAAAGGGGGGAGCGATTCTATCGCACAAGCTAGTTTTGGCGCAACAGGAGAACGCTGAGCTTCACGCAGCTCTAGCAGCTGCCACAGAACGTAAATCGCGCAAAAGAAAGCGAATCTAGAAGGAAGGGACCCTTATAGTTAAGGAAGGGCAGCAGATAGCAGCTCTAAAGGAGTTTAGGG